CCCGTCCCACCCACGGCGCAGGCCGCGACTGGAGGAGGCTGCGTGCGAATTGGGGGAGCCGTTCCGAACGATCGACCCGTATTGTCCGGCCGCTACTTCAGGTCCTCGAAAACCGATTGCCTCGCGAAGACAAAACGACTTTAAGCTGACATGGAATTGCGTTACTTTGACATTAATTCTTTGCCACAGATGTGGAGCTGATAGACATGACTATGTCAATTTGCCGTGAAGGAGGTAAGAAAAGAACGAAATGTCATTGGAAATTCATAACAAATATCTAGCAACAATAGATTACGAACTATCGTCTTGCTTAATACAATATATTTTACTACACATTTTTATTGAAATTAAGATATACTTTCAATAACACGACAATTTTCGTAAGATTTTTAAGAAATATTTTATTCTACTTCATTTATAACCAAAAATGAAATTTTCATCGGGGGAGGGTTGGAATATAAAAGGAACTCACAGTAAAGTTACGAGTTTTTGTATATCTAAGAAATGCTTGAAAACCAAAACAATGGATTCGAACGTAGTGTTTTTTCTTGGTTGTGTTGCAGACAGTATTCTTGTGTGAACTATATAGACTTTATTGCGATTGAAGGAAAGATTCGTGAAATGTGTTATTGACGCAATGCATTTTCTTTTCAATATTTAAAGAAATCGTTTCATAATGTCTATACGATCTTACATGATTAGAAAGGGGCATGGATGTGCAACCCGATGATCAGATGTGTTGCGAGATGACAGTACAAACTGACTTTTATAAAAAAGATAAAGAAGATGTTAAGGCAAGTAAAAGTATTATAAGAACTTAATTATTTATTAAAATGTTTAATTTTATTAAGCTATGAACCTAAAAGTGCAATTGAATACTTGTCTTGCTTTCAGAAAATGTAAAAATAAATAAGCAAGTGATGACCTCTCTAATGCATTCTAATACGCATTCATTCAGTACACCAAGGAAAATGGCCGTTCTGTACTAATACGTAACGTACATGACCATTAGTTAAAGCAATAAAATATTTATTAGAATCTGTTTTCTTCGATATTCTCATTTGGTAGGAACTGAACTTAGCTAAGAAAACGAACTTAAATGGAGGGAACAACCAACACTAACTGCTGAGAGGTAAGTCGCTTAACAACCATTAGTTTGGTTGAAGAGAATATTGACGTAACATTATTCAACAACTGATTGAGATATATTTTACCACGCGATGTAGTTGATATGATTCTACGTGCTTTAATACGATACGTCTATTCTCATCGGGCTTGAAGAATCGTTGAATATTCATGGCCTGTTAGTGAGAGTATTTTGTTTAACAATGAAACTTAAAATTGTGGCGTACGTATGTGGTTTGGAAGATTATTGATTTATTCATGTCATCAAATATCTTTTCTACTTCGTTAGCTCTTTTTTCTATTAGAGAAGAAAGAGATTAGAGAGGAAGCCTGCGACATGTCAGGCGAAACGTCGGCACCCCAGCCAACGACGCGGCGTCTCCCGGATAGCCGAGAATTCATGGTTTCGAGCCGCGGAAGCTTACGTATACAAGAAATTCAATTAAAAATCCGACTCTTCTTTTTTGTTTCCAAAACCAGAAAAGGAGCAATATATCTCTGAAGAAGGCCGCAGCAAGATGGCCGAAACGTCAGCACAATTGACCGAGACGCGGCTCATCCCGGATAGCCAAGAATGCATTGACGCCGGCCGCGGAAGCCTACGATCGCATACCAGAAAAGGAGAATCTCGCGAGTCGAGACGTTGTATCTACGAAACCACACTCTGCCGAGAGGGTGTTGCGGAAGGAGCTGTGGCGAGGGCCGGAGTGGGCGTGGCAGTACCTGCGGGGTGAAGTCAGAGCCCTGCTGCATGAGGGTGCTGATGGCGAACCAAAAGCTGTTGGAGAGCGTGAAGTCGTTCTCCACGAAGAGCGAGGATGCGGAGCAGTCGTCGCTGCAGCAGGGCGCCTGCAGGAGCTGCTGCTGCTGCTGCTCCGACACCTGCCACGACGCGGGCGAGCGCCACTCGTACGGAGAGAAGCGCGCCACCGTCCACGTGGTGAGCGACACCAGAATGTAGACGGCCAGAATGTACAGCCAGATCTCCAGGGCCAGGGGGTTCATGAACGAGAACAAGCGACTCGGCACGCGTTCCGACACCTTCAACAAAACCAGCGGCCTTGAAAGCGACTGCCCGGGCAGCGCGGCGAGTCTTCCTACAGCTCCTCTATGCGCCTCTTTCATGGGCCGTGTGCTCGATAAAACCCGTATTCGGAATGATATATTAATGACTATTTTTTTATTGCTTCTACTCATTACTTATGCTGTTGAGATATTTATCGATATATTGCCTTGCAAACTAAACAAGCCGTCATTTGTACGTGTTTTTAGATATATTCGTGGCTTCAATATTTGTAATACATTTTGCCTCTTTGGAGCAGCCTTCGAAGAAGAAATGAAAAGGCCATTTTCAGAAATAAAATGACAATTGATGAAAGAAATAATTCAATTATTATTAATTCAATAGAAAATATTGATGAATTCATTAATTTACAAAGTATTGGATGTAAGTAAATGCGATGCATCAAAAGCTGTGCTGGATGTTTGAAACATTATGTACTTAATTCAAAGACAAAGGCTCAAAAATATTAGATATCTCATTAGGCATTTAAGATAATTTACGGACCTCTACATGTTTTGACGTGTATTCACATAAAATAGAATTTTATCTCTTACAAAAATATCTTCTAAATCTCATATTCTAATTAAAAGACTAATTGCTTACAAAATACGGCCAAACATATCTGTTTTATGAAGTTAAAAACAAGTTAATAGGTTGTTGTGACAGAGTGACAGTTATTTGGATTTCAATTAACAAGGTGGGATGACGGAACTAGTTTAGTTGTGGGGCACACGTTTGAATAATTTGAAATGAATATTTATTCTTTGCTCTCATTCTGTAAAGTTCTGACAGAATACTTCCGGAATACTTTTTTGGTAATTTCAAGACTAAAACTGTGAACGCATTGGAAATTGGAAATACTTCAAAAACAAAGAGAATCATACGTATTTATATTTATTTTGGCTAATAACCGAAAACATGAAATTTTCATACATAAAAAATGTTATGTATAGAAACGCAAAGCATTTTCAATATTTCATATGTTTTTGTTTACAGATATTTTCTCTCGTTTTTAAAGAAAGTGTCAAGAAGGAAATGAACTTTTTGAAGGGTCTCAGGAATTTACAGAAAATATTAATTATTTAGGTAATGAAGAGGAAATCGACTAAGTTAAAAGACATTGAAGGACCAATTACCACATAATAAGAGCAGGTATTTCCAACGAAGTCATTAGCAAGTTGAAGCGTTTAACAAAGCACATGAGTCTGAAGCCAACTACCCCAAAAGCACAAGGAGCTAAAGCGGGAAATGTGACTAGCAGATACAATTGCGGCGACGTGAGAAGCAATGCAGGTACAGAATAAAGCTCTAGAATGAATGTGAAAGAACAACAGTGCATTGAAGAAGACAGCATAATTCGAGAACAACAAGATGAAAGCAATGGACAAGGGTAAAGAGTCATAAATGAAGAATTTGTTTAAAATGACGGCTTCTTTAAATTGTACTAAGCGCAATTGAGAGTTTGGTCTGTCACTTTTGAACAATGTTAGGAGAAAATTCGTATTTCATAGAAATTAATTACTTTTGGAGCAAGAAATAAAGCCACCAAGCGAACATCCCATAAAAAGGAAGACTGATAATTGTGTTTGCGATAAGCTTACCAAGTTCCGAACTCTTAAAAGCCAATTTTGCGAGGCAGAGGAATCCACTTTTCGTCTTCCGATAACAGCGCCGCGCTCAAACTGTTATTAATTGTTCGTCGCGTATGCCTTCCGTGAAAAGTGGAGGAGGGAAGTTTGACCGATAATGTTAACCAGACAACTGAATCGATTATACGAAAATACAGCTGAAGTATTTTGTCCTTTGTAATTTATCTTCTTTACAAGATAAGAAAAAATACATTTCAGGAATAGTTCAAATTATTGAAGTTCTTTTTTCCCTGTACTTATTGTTAGATACATTTTCAAGAAATAATCTTTACTGAGTAAGGTTAAAAACAATGTTTTAAATGTTATTATTTAATATATTTTACATTCTAGTATACGTATGTACGTATACACGGTGAAATGTACATAGTATTCAGAAAGGCATGAAATGTTTGGACATAAAACGGCGATTTTTCAACAGAAAAGTTCGTATTGTGAGGCTACTCCCTCTAACACGTTATACAGTCAGATTTTACGAATAGTGAGTCCTTGTTACCGAAAATGTGTGTTTTTCAAAACGTCCGTCCGTGTGTAAACAACATTGAACTATGAGTAGATTTTTTTTCACAATGGATATTCCCCGGTCGATCTAGCCCCTCTCAAACCTCTTCAATTTTGAATAACATGACATTAATTTTTGGGGGAACCTTATATGAAGCCCCTGGGACATTTTCAAATTTATCAAAAAAATGGCTGGAATTTTTTTCTTTAAATTTTGTTGTACGAATAGAGTAAAATACTCTTATAAAGGTAGCATAGGACCTATTTTTACTATTAACACTGAAAATTATAAGGTTTTGAAATGTTTTCGGCATCTTTCTACAATAACAAAATAAAAGATCTTTTTTCCTTGTCCGAGTTTTTCCCTTGAATTAAAATTCTTCTTCATAATTAGTTCTTTCATTGTTGCCATGTAAATGTTTTGAAAATGTTAGTAGTTTTCGCACAATATTGCCTTAGGCACAAGTATGTACTTGTATGTGAAACAATAATTTATCAAAAAAGGCTGCAAACTTTTTCTTTAAACTTTCGGTATGGGTAGTGCTAAATATACACTAACGCAATTTTCCTCTATTCGTTTATTTTTAATATATATATATATATATATATATATATATATATATATATATATATATATATTATTGTATTTGTTATGCAACTAGTATACAATATTGTGTTTGTAGAGAAGATTTTCGAAAACGCAAACATTTTTGTTGCAAATGAGCTTCAAGATGGGCGTTTACAGAAACGCTCAAACGACATTGTTTTCAAAAACAGCTCCAATTGTTTTCAACGAAAATGTCCTGAAAGTGTGAGATTTTACTCTCCTAAAATATTCTTAAAATCATGTTTCAGATCTATCTTTAAGTGGCAATAAAATTGAAATACTGTAAAAAATGTAGTTTTGGTGGCACTAAATGTAGCTGTGAAGATGGTGAGACAACAGCGGAAAGCTAACCCAATCCAAAGAAATTTGGAAACTAACTAGTAAGAAAGTCTGTGCCATTCTCCAGGAGCACCAGTTCTTATCCATATTAGATTAACCTAGGTGCATTTGCGGGTAATTTAAAGCCATGTATCTGGGTAAGTCGGATGCACAAAACACTAACAATAAAGCATATTTGGTTTGGTATTTATGGTGATGTGACATATGGTATTTGTCCCTTATTGTTAGGCAACTCTCCTTGCGCTAGTGTTTGGCGGTATACATTCTTAGCCAGTCAAAGAGTTTTCAGCTTCCTGCGACACACAACTGTGAGAAGGGTTGCTTATCAACAGGCGTATACGTCACATGTGTTACTTCGTCATAAAAGATTTACCACATGCTCATGGGCAACAAGTGATTATCTTCGACCCCTCTACTTGCCATAGAAGTTTGTAACATTTATTCCCAGGCACCTGCAAATTTTTCAACGCAAGAAGATAATATATCGTGATAATGAACTTTTGAATGTCGCCGTTCACTTAAAGTGCGAGGAATAAGGTTGAATAATATTTCGAAAAAGTATTTGTCTCTTGATATTGTATATCGTGAACGTATTTTTGTTTTCACAAAAATAATGGTTCACTTACGTTAAAAATATAAAACAAAAATAATGATAATAAATTATTTAATAAGACCTTTTTAATCATTTTAAATAGAAACATATTTTGTTGATGTTCAATAAATGCAATAAATATTGTAAACATATTCATAAACATTTACCATGTTTCATGTATATAGTATGTATGTACTTGGCGCGACAGCCCGTGAACGGGCTCAGGCGTACCGGCGAGTTCTCTGCCTCGCGGCCATGGGCTAAGGGGGTACGTGTGGTTAGCACGTAGACATCCCCACGCCGTATTCCGATCTTCTCAACCTGAGCGTGAATTTTCTCATCGTCACACAGCAACATATACTGGGACATTGAAAGCAAAACGTACACTATAATCTTGCCACACCGGGAATCGAACCCGGCGCCGCGTAGTGGAAAGAGGCACGCTGACCAAGAGCTAGTCTCGAGCCCTAGTAGCGAGACGTAGCACTTGTAAAGCTCTTCTCAAAGTATTCGATTTTCCCCCCAGTTCCTAGAGTAAGATATATTATTTCCATAAATCTCTAGATAGTGCAGATATACAGCAGAGGTTCAGGAGGTGATCCTTCCCGAAATCATGGGTGTTTTCTTCTGGTCATTGAGAATGGGCAGCCAAAGCGAAACGATCATATCCTATCCAGATCATTACTTGATGCTCATATTATTTTTCAGAATCTCTAATACGAGGTCGCCTAATTTCTGAGAAGAATATGAAACTTTTTAAAGATTGTTCAAAGAAGACGAGTTACGCAACGAAATAAGTTATTTTATTATCTATCGGTAAGATTTAAGCATATAGGATTTCAGCAAACGTCTGATTATTTGCAGAAGTATCATCGAATAACTGAAAGCTGAAACCCCGCGGATGGGGTAAGTATCATTATATAAGTTTAGAGCGTTTTCACCTAATAAGTAGTATATACTAATTAATCAGATTTAATTAATATTCTCAAACAGTAACGAAATATTAATACACAATACTCTAAGGGATGTTCTAAATTAACATCATTGTATTTTATTTGTTTATAAAAATCATACTATTACACAACTGATTAAAATATACGAAATATTCTCATGCAAACTTTTGTATGGTGGTCGTAGTGTGGCCAAATTGTTTCGTGAGCGTTCTTTCTTGTACCGCTAATTTGTCAGAATTCATTTAAAAATATTCTATTACTGGGGTTGTTGATATCGTAATTTTCAATTTTCATTTACTTATGAAAGATCAGATTTGCTAAAACGTATTGAAGAATAAATGCTCTGAAATTCTGAAGGTACTGGAGCAATGATGCGGGAGTAGAGTTGTCTATTTGCGATTCGGCTTCATTTAAAAGTGTGAGTTCTGCCACAAAAACGATGATTCTCAAATTTCGTAACATTAATGATGAAAATAATATCAAAATCCCACGACAGATATCACAATGAGCGTAAGAGTTGAAGCATTGTAGCGTTGCTTCAGGTTCCAGGCTGTTTTATTTTTACCCTACCCCACGTGAAAATGCATTTTAAAATCCCGTTGTATGTCGATGATTGATTCAGTCTGATGATAAGCTTTGAATTTGTTTGCATTAAGGGATGAAATATGTATGTGATAAATGGGTTTTCTTTTTTGAAAATATTGAGTACTCCTCGTTGGACGTCATTAGTCACCCGAAATTTAAAAAGCAAAAAACAACGTAAACTGGTAATTTATACTGATCATATTCGTTTGTTTGATATCTGTAAAACTGTTTTGGCGGATGAAAAATTTTGAAACATATTTTGTTCACCAATCAAACCGACAAGCAGTTCGAGTCATTATTTGAAAACTTCCGTTGTAGCTTTCGCAGCGGAACGTTGAGAAATTTTACAAAATGCACAACACTCCAAATGGCTACCTTCGGGTTCAGGCCGGAGCCTTGGCGGAGAAAGGTGCCGGTGATGAACCAGAAGCTGTTGGACACCGAGAACTGATTCTCCACGACGTCCGACTCGGCGAGGCACGGGTGCGGGTTGCTCCACTCGTACGGAGAGAAGCGCGCCATCACGAACAGCGTGAAGCTAACGAGCAAGTACGCCGCCAGAACGTACAGCCAGATCTCCACGGCCAGCGGGTTCATGAAGGAGAAGAGTCGCGTCGGCTGGCTGCTGGGCACCTGCAAGCAGCGCGCTGACTTGAGCGGCGCGGCGCGGCGCGGCGGGCGCAGCGACTGGCGACCGGCGCGAGCCCTGCCATCTAGCGCTCAGCGGCCGAACTAAACGCAACTCTCTCTCTCTCCTGCGCTACGCCTGCGCCTCTGGCGGCAGAGCGGCAAACTAGCTAGCTAGCTCCGTGAATGTCCGGGCGCGTTTGGGCTGGAAATGTTATCACGAATGCGGATTTTTGCTAAGTACTGCACAATAACCAATTCGTCATTTTCGGATAGAAAAAAAGACAAACAAATTAACTTCGTCAATTACTTTCATATTTCCATTAGATCTTCCCACAGTTGTTACCATTACCTTCTATAGCAGAAAGACGAGCATTCCAATAAAAAACGTTCACTGTACGTTTTTTATGATAAGATACATTCCTGTAAAACTCAAAAATCATATTGACAACTGTCTTATTTAACGGCTATTAATACATTTTCTTTAAATATTTGAAAAAATGATCCTCCACTTTTCGCAGTTCAGTTCGTCGCGATTAATATTTCATTGTTATCTCCAAATTATCCAGACCGCGATTAATATTTCATTGTATCTCCAAATTATCCAGACCGCGATTAATATTTCATTGTATCTCCAAATTATCCAGACCACGGAATTCCCGAACTAAACTTCTGCCTCAACAATTACGACAGTAAATCTGTGATGCATGAACCCTCAAATACATGAATGTACTCCGGCGTTTGAACAAATATCGGATATTTGCAAAACTTGTTTCTACAGTGTCGCGCTACATCTCTCTGAACGTGTTGGGAAAATTCGTTTCACCGATAAATTTAGCTACATTTTGAATAATTAAATATAAGTACTACAAGAATATCCTCTAAATCAGCTAATTTGATTGTCGAATATGTTTTTGAACGGGAAACTTTACATAAATACCAATTTTCTGCGATGATCGGTTCTGATGATTAATAAATTATTCGGCGATATTACGGAGCATTTCAATTAACTATTCCACTTTTTATACAGGCTGGAAGATGTGATGGAGATTCGCGACTTCGAATTTCTTGATGACAGGTCGCTAACATCAATTTCCTGAAAGTAGGATCAGCAGGTATGGGAATAATGTAAATGTTGTAGTAGATGTTAATGTGAAAAATATATGGAATCCTGATAGTTAAGTTAATTTGGGTATGAATAAGTTATCAATGCATCTGAAAATACTAATAGCTCATAAAGGTAGAGCTGTGTTTTTAAGAAGCTACAACATTGTGATTATTTTTCAATAATAGTTTTCGTGATAAAATTGTAGAATATCAGGTTTAAAAGAATAATTCGTATACCTCTGACCTAAAAAAATCATTAAAATTTTCTCTGATTTTAATGAACAATAGTAAAGAGTGGATAAAAATTAACGATAGTTTGAGAAGTACGTTTTCAAAGATGGAAAAATGTTTCATTAACGCAGATTTTGACAGCTAGTGGATAAAAAATAGTAATACTACAAACATTTCGGTATTGAATTGATGATTCTTTCTGAGTTTAATCATTTAATTTTAAAAGTATATTAATTACGTCGAATCTAAAAAAAAAGTTCCGTCCGCTTGGGGATAGACAGATTCTTTTTTAATTTCGTTTTTTTTAGATTTTGCACTGGACATGAATTATTTCTACAAATGGGAAGGTAATTTAACTAAAAATTGTCATCTAAAACTAATTTAAAGCGTCTCAGTATTATAAATTGATAGGTGAAGTAAAATCAGTAAATAACAAGAAAACGGGCGGCTTTTCCATTTACGATTAACAGAAGTAAAGATGGTTTCGTGATTTTAACATTACAATTTTAACATTACTATCACTATTTCCATGGTTAAACGTATTATTTTAACTTAGTTTGAATTAATATATGAAATTTGAATCTTTCGTGAGTGAATATCAAAGTAAAAATGAGGTATGTGGTATCCATTCTTGTTTCTCAGAAGCCACTAATATAGTTTTCAGAATATTGCTGCATTATATTTGTTTTTTCTTTGCACCATATCCTTTTCTCTTCACAGCTAGGGGCAGTGGTATACACCTAAAAGCCTAATGTATGTGTGAATATTTATTTGTATTCTGCTATAGCATAAATTCTAACATCATGTTCGCTATTAAATACAATTTAAGTTTAGTAACCTAGTAGTGTTTAGTTCATTGTTAAATTATTTAACACAAGAGAATGGTAATTAAACAATTTATTCTTCTTTCAGCTTTAGTGCAAATTCTTCTCAATGGTGCGTTGGAGCAATTCTAGGTGTTGAATATCATTGAAACGTGAACAATTGGGTTTAAAAGTCAAGTAAAGTATGTAAAAGTGTGAGAATATGGCATGGTCCAGAATCAGTAGGACAGCTACACATGCAAGGATTTAAAACACACAATACTGATATAGGCTGTCAATTTAAAAAATAAAAGTATTAAGCAGGAATATAAAAATACACTAATGGTTCTATGCTCAAGAAAGATCATCCATTTAAATGTACACTATTTTGGAAAATGCACAGATACCAGAAACTTCATGCATTTAGAACAAAATTTAAAAAATCAACGAAATAAAACTGTTCAAAAAATTTAACAAATTTAACAATTACAAGTTGAGAAGGATCCAAGCATATATTTTTCACAATAATTAAGCATTTTGAGTTACTGGATATAAGTTAAGTTTATACTTCACCTTAAACAGAATTCCAATTCCTAAATTCATAAAAGGTTTGGTGAAATCAATGACACTCTCACGGGCATAGTTAATGGTCATCGATGCAACAGCCAGATCCGCTCTCTGAAATCAAAAATGAAGGGGGGGAACTGTTTCGAAGTGAGAAAAAATAAATACAAATATTTAAAAGGAAGCTTGCATATTAGGTTAATCTATTATTGCTTAGTAATTTGTATTATATTAGCACATTTTTATTTTATTTCTGTTAAAATATCGATAAAAGATAGTGAAAACACCCAAAAGGGCTCCTTGTACAGAATGCAAATAAGGATGCTTCCTTGGTTAACATGTAAACTAACTCTAAAGAAAATTTTACTTTATACTGAAATTCATGTATCTATATCGGTTGCCTTGATTCTACCGCCAATATAATCACCATTAAAGGGCTGCTAGAAGGACCGTAAATTGCTTGACCATCATGGCGAAACATACAATAGGTCATTAAGATTTGCACATTAAGCATTATTGAGATTATACATACTGATGACCACCCACATTTCATTAATATCAAAGTCCAGAATAGTAGAAGTAGTAATACTCAAATCCCAGAATGCACATTATTCTCACTGAATGTTTGAAAGTGATAATGTGATGGAGGTACATTGTAAATGAGCTCAATAATCACCTGCCAGTTCATTAAAACTGTAACCCCAAAATAATACGGCACCAATAACGAATAGGCTGCAAGAAAAAAGAGGTGGAGGAATAGGTTGTGAAAGTTAAGATAAGGATTATATATGAGATTAATGGTTTTCTGACAGTGCATCAAAACAACTATAAAACAAAACGGCACCCACAACGAATGGGCTGCAAGTGGGGACGACACGGAGGTATCTTCTCACTGAGCTTATTGGTCTTCTGCCAGTTCACTGAAACTTCAGACCTAAAAGAAAATGGCTTTCGCATTGAGTAAATTACAAACACAGATGGGGTGGAAGTACCTTATCAATGAACTTGATGACCACTTGCCAGTCTACTAAAACTACAACTCCAAAAGAAAATGTCTCCCACCCCTATATAGTATTTGAGTAACTGCAGTGGCCGTCCGTGCGTCCATCACTCATGGTTAGATCATTTTCCGTGCACTAGTTGAGTCATACGAAGACGCGTATTAGACGCGTTTTTGTCATCTGGTGGGGAACTGAATGCGATTTTCTATTTAACCACACGATTAAAATAAATTTCCCTAAACGTGCTTTTGCGAGTTGTAGTGGGGGTAGACCGGGAATTAAACCAACGCAATCTAAATAGGTCTATGTAGGTGGCATTGATTAAACCCCAGAGTCAATTTTCGCTCCATCATTTTTTTCCGCGAGTATGTCAACACTGATTGTCCCCATTGATATGCCCAATGCTGTAAGAACTTATTTGAACAACGCTATGCATAATATTTAGAAATTTACAACATATTAACATATTTTTAAAAGCATTTTCAGCGTCGGCGACGCCACATTCAGCTAGTTTTGAATATATTGCAAGTAAGAATGAAGAGGAGCTATGTAATGCAATGGCTACTTACCCTTACATTAAATCTACAATCTCATAAACAAATGACACACTGAATTGGTTATAATTGAGGATGGGGGTGGAGCTCCCTCGTACAGGACCTCTAAGGCCATTTACAAATTCACTCAAAACCACCCAAAAGAAAATGTTACCAACGTAGATCGCAAGCGAGGCTGAGGCGGAGGTACCGTGAATTTTGTCTAGGCTACCCGGGGCGAGCCGCGCCTCTGTCGTGGCGGCTGTCGCGCCGCAGTACGCTCTGAAGCAGACCGCAACACGTTGGCCACCACAACAGAGACGCGGATCATAAATTCTTGGCTATCTATATCAGGGAGGCCGACGTTTCGCCTGACATGTCACAGGCTTCTTCAGGACAGAGACAGTTCCTCATTGCCCTGAGAAAGCCTGCGAAATGTCAGGCGAAACGTCGGCCTCCCAGCCAACGACGCGGCGTCTCCCGAATAGCCAAGAATTCATGGAATCGCGCCGCGGAAGCTTACGTGTGCAGAGACGCGGATCGTCCCGGTCAGCCTAGCCAACACAAAGTACGTCCTTGTACCTTGTCTATGAATTTTGTCTAGGCTCTTTGAGATGAGCCGCGTCTCTATCATGGTGGCTGCTGCTCAGCAGTACTCTCTGAGGCGGGTACTAACAAGTTGGCCGAAACGTCAGCGGCACAACGGAGACGCGGATCGTCCCGGACAAAGTCCGGCCCGGGCAACCATACCTTGTCCATGAATTTTGTCTAGGCCCTCCGAGACGATCCGCGTCTCTGTCATGGCGGCTGCTGCTCAGAAGTACGCTCTGAGGCGATCACTAACACGTTGGCCGAAACGTCAGCGACTTCACAGAGACGCGGATCGTCCCGGACAAAGTCCTGCCTGGGCAACCGTACCTTGTCCATGAATTTTGTCTAGGCTCTCCGGGACGAACCGCGTCTCTGATGTGGTGGCTGTTGCTCAGCAGTACGCTCTTAGGCGGGCACTAACAAGTTGTCCGAAACGTCAGCGACACAACGCAGACGCGGATCGTCCCGGACCAAGTCCGGCCCGGGCAACCGTACCTTGTCCATGAATTTTGTCTAGGCCCTCCGAGACGATCCGCGTCTCTGTCATGGCGGCTGCTGCTCAGAAGTACGCTCTGAGGCGGGCACTAAGAAGTTGTCCGAAACGTCAGCGACACAACGCAGACGCGGATCGTCCCGGACCAAGTCCTGCCTGGGCAACCGTACCTTGTCCATGAATTTTGTTTAGGCTCTCCGGGACGAACCGCGTCTCTGATGTGGTGGCTGCTGCTCAGAAGTACGCTCTTAGGCGGGCACTAAGAAGTTGTCCGAAACTTCAGCGACACAACGGAGACGCTGATCGTCCCGGACCAAGTCCGGCCCGGGCAACCGTACCTTGTCCATGAATTTTGTTTAGGCTCTCCGGGACGATCCGCGTCTCTGTCATGGCGGCTGCTGCTCAGAAGTACGCTCTGAGGCGAGCACTAACACGTTGGCCGAAACGTCAGCGACTTCACAGAGACGCGGATCGTCCCGGACCAAGTCCCGCCTGGGCAACCGTACCTTGTCCATGAATTTTGTCTAGGCTCTCCGAGACGATCCGCGTCTCTGTCGTGGCGGCTGCTGCTCAGAAGTACGGTCTGAGGCGGGCACTAAGAAGTTGTCCGAAACGTCAGCGACAAAGTCCGGCCCGGGCAACCGTACCTTGTCCATGAGCTCGCGCACGATGCCGTTCCACTCCTTGGTGGCGGGGTCGTAGACGCCGTACATGTGGTCGGGCACGAGGCGGATGGCGTAGTGGAAGCCGACCTGCGCCGCGATCCACTTGAGCAGGTCGATGCAGAACCCCTCGTAGCGCGCGTTGCCCGTCAGGTTGCGGTTCTCCTTCACCATCACGTACGGCTTCTCCTGCGGGCACGGCGCGTGGCTAGTAACGACACTTTTCACTTTCGCTTTTTATTTCTGTTTATTTTAAACTCTCAACTATTCATAGTTAAAATGATGGGAAGGGATTCTGGAACTCAAGAAAACGTGCGTAGATTATTTTCTCCCCCATACGTCACATACAGTTTTTACTGTTTTTTACTAAATAAATCTAAGAAAATGTTGCGTCTACACTACGTGAACAAAAGTATCCGGACCCTTCGAAAATTATTTCATGATGTGGTCGTGTGTTTCATGGAAGGGGCTTGCACCTCTTGTTGTTTTGTGTGGCATTATTACGGCACAGGCATACGTTGATGTTTTAAACACCTTCTTGCCTGCCACTGTTGCAGAGCAATTCGGGGTTGGCGATTGCATCTTTCAACACTGGCCTGCACAGAGTCCTGACTTGAATCCTATCGAACATCTTTGGGATATTTTGGAGCGCTGACTTCGTGCCAGGCCTCACCGACCTACATCGGTATCTCTCCTTAGTGCAGGACTCCGAGAAGAATGGGCTGCCATTCCCCAAGAAACCTTCCAGCAACTGATTGAAATATGCCTTGCGAGAGTGGAAGCTGTCGTCGAGGCTAAGGGTGGGCCAACACCCTATTGAATTCCAGCATTGTCGATGGAGGTAGCAACGAACTGGTAAGTCATTTGCAGCCACGTGTCCGGATACTTTCGATCACATAGAGGTTATATACTCAACGCGTCTTTCAACTCCTTAAGGAACGTTGAGAGCACTGTGAAGTAATCTTCCGTTTATTAATCACCCAGCAACCTTTAGGGGCCGCTGCTTAGTACACTCACTTCAGTCATTGTCAAGTTTAGGAACTGCCGATAGGTAGCGTCTTCTACAGAGATTCTACGGGAATAGAACTTTCACGAGACTAAATACGATGGGAATAAGAGATGGAATAAAGTGAGGAATTAACATACAAGTAACCCCATGAAGAATGACGTAAATTAGTTCGTAGCAGAGTTCGCGCGGGATGTCTGTGCAGACACACTGTACATGCGTAGTAGAGCTTTCCGCGCTTAGAATCTTTGTTTGTAAAATATCGTGTAGTCGAATCCAAACTAGGGATTGTAGTCGCTTAGAAATTTGTTTTGGCTGCGTTAGTAATTTGTTACGTACGTTTTCTTGTGTATTTTCTTCCATGAAATGGGAATGTAGTTTTGTTGTTTTATTTTAGACCGATGCTTTCTGTTGAAAAGCTAATGCTTTTGAGACGGTATTTAGAGGAGCTGTGTCCCTTTGTAACGCCAGACAGGTGCCCGAATTTCTCGCGAGCAACCTGCCCATCGCTGCAGCGTACGTAATTTCATATGTTAAATAAATGTCAGTGAGTTATGTACAATGAGATGAGCAAATATTTCTTATTCGTTTTGCTGGCAAATACTTCGTTGTTGCGTAGCCATTGGTCGACGATTTCAGTTGTTTCATTACGTCTATAAGCTTTTTATTTCGATAAGTGAAATTACTAAGTACACCTATCCACTTACTAACGCTTATTACTTAATAAATCAGAAGTGTAAAATAACTTTGGATACAAACGAAGAAAAATACACAAATTTTTGAATTAATGAAATAAAAAGAACGACAGCTCTGGGCTGAACTAAAGCGCAACAAAGTTCTGCCATTGTCTTCTGCGACCAAACTTTAGGAAATGTAACTCGTGTTTCCGGTTACTCAAATGACAACGTGAGTTTCTCGCCACCGCTCCATATTAAGGAAATGTTTCTGCGAGTGTTGTTCCGATGAGAGACAGGCTGCAACGGAATTTCAAATTCACGGAAAGCAATTTATACGCGATTCCGTGTCGTCCTGAAAAACGGAAAGACAAGCTAATTACGATATGAAGAGAAACACGATTTCTTATACAACAGAAACTACTAACGACGTACCATACGATTCAGTTAACTCATATGAATTTGAACTCAAATAGGAACTCAATGAATTTTTGAAATATCTGAAATTCGTATTAAGAAACATAAAAATTATGTAAACTACCCATGTAAATAATAAATGCACGATTTTTTAGCAAGGTGTACTGGGTATGTAAAAGTAAATTTAATAATTAATTCTTTGATTTGTAAAAATGTATTTAATAATAGTTTGCGACCAAATAATTAAATAATTTGTTAACATATTCTTCTCCACTCTGAATCATTACAAAGTTACCTCCGTCATTTTCAATGTATACATGATTAATAACTAATTTGAGTGAATTTCAACATTTCTCTTTCAAATATTGAGTGCCCAGTTAACTATCGTACGTCAATGCCATTCCGGTTCCGGAAAATCACCAATAGGGGTGGGGGGTGGGGGCAAACGGCGAGGTCCAATATAAATTGCAATGTTATTGAAGAAAAAATATTTTTTAACAACTAATGCTACAGGTGCTTAGTAATATTTACTATCATTTTCGGCAAGATTGTGTTAGAGTGTTGTCAATTTTGAAGGTATTACACGGTCATAATTACTTTCAACTTTACTTACGGTCCTTTCCGCGGCAACGCAGATGGCCAAGTCCTTTTTTGAACAACTAGTTCAAAATTCACATGTTGCTACAATTTTCCTCCCCATCAATATAACGGAAAAATAATATTGCAACCTGTTTATATGCTGGTTTGGCTATAGGAGAGCGCAGACGTTTCTATAAAACAATTACGCCTGGCGACGATTTCGAAGTTTCTTTTTAAACAGTCGATAAACGTTGAATTACGAAACTAACAATTAAGAACAGGAAAGGTTCTAAAATGAAAGTCCAATACGATGAAACAACATCTTACTAAAAAAACAAGAAAAACGACGCCGGGGTCCTTCATAGACGTCCGCCATTGGTACGCGATTGTTAACCATAATTCACTGAACTTGCAATTAAGATCAACATTTCACACACACACACACACACACATACACACACAATCAATACGAACCCCAAACGAACAATAGAGTCCTATAGCGCAGATGAGATCATTTTTGCATTTTATAAGTATCGGGACAATTTATTATATCGAAGTACATTTCGTCTGAACTTCCTTCCCTAGGATAATATTCTATACATTTAATGGGGCAAACATTTTATTATTTACGGTGTAATCTACAAAATGAAAGATTTTAGGACCAACTACATTTTTTGAAGCTCCTCTGTGTATCTCACGCCGTAACATAACCTATCAGAAATGTGCATAATCTATAACGATATCTTTATGAAACTAAACTGACTAATATTTTAAGCAATTTAATCGCAAGGGTCTAAAACCTTAAGTTTTAAAATACTTCCAAATTTTAGAATGTTTATCTATGAACAATACCGGGTCAATATTCCAATATTCTTCCGTAAAACACAGAGATAAAGTGGAAATATTCGCAGATATTCAACCAGTATTGCTGTTGTAAAAAGCCAGTTAAGTTCAAAGTGAATGCACTATTTTGTAAAAATAAAATACGGCACGTAATTTTACAACCCTTCCAGATGTAACGGATAAACAATCCGATCAAATCAAAACATAGATTTCGGAAATCATATTCCACGGCAAATAGAAACAAATTTTCACAAATATTATTTCAAATTCTATACACATTTCGATCTGGGAAAAATCTCACAAACTCAACACGCGGTAAAACAACACATCGAGAGCACTTAACGTCTATATTCCCCAATAGCTGTCTCTGGCATCAAACGAGTTAAAAAAGCGAAATCGACCCTCTGTGGTTGAAACTCAGTTTGTTGCAGGATAGTGATCATTGCAGTCCATTCAGTGCACGTCTCACAAACATCACTCTTCAAGTTTCAATTTAGCTTAACTCGCTCTGATTAAGCACGGCAATTATGTGTATCGCAACCATTCCAGGAGTTACTTGAATTTATGATATCGTGTGAGTGCATCAGATGAAAACTTCAACTGAGGAATAATTTGCCATGTAAATACCAGCAATTCACTCAGTTGACCGAACATCTGTGCAGCTTTCATGGTCGTGACTTCGTGATAGATGGAATATTTAATGAACTACATGCATCAGGTGTTCGTTATAGGCCTTGTGAAGTTCTGCTAATACCATCGGTGACATCAAAGAGCGGGAATATCCGTTTCCACTCAGCGCTACCAGAAGATATAATTGCAAAACACAAACACTTATCTTTTACATACATGTATTATTCGAACAGCAAGTAATACAAAATCAGAGGAAAATAATTATTAAAATGTCGTACTCTTTAAGAGATAATTTTCGGAATAACTTGAGTAAGTATATTAGTAAATAATTCGCATTTTAATATATCTTATTCCAACTGAAATGTTGAATAATATTTATAGGGTTGACTTCTTATGCGGTTAATTGGAATACATTCGTTTGGTTATTTCTGTTAAATATTTGTATCATCGATCAAATAACAATGAAGTGTAGAGATACTTTGCAATATAGTTTTCTGAATATAGTACAGGAAATGTTACATTGTTATAGATTAAAGAATTTCCTAGACGTTTTATCGAAACTATTACTCTATTATTTACGTCCTAATCTTCATATCTAATCCAACATTAATTACAACAGATGTGATTATTGTATTTGGTAGAAAACAGGATATTCAACGGACGTACACAACGAGTGCAATACGATGCTCGATTACGGCAAAAGCTGAATTTAATTTAAATATAAAAAATTATGACTATGCCCATTTGATTAACACTAATTAGTTTTTAATGATATTATTATGTATCGTCATGAAAATATAAATTGTTTGTGTGCGAATGATAACAGATATATTTGTACGCTAATGAACTCCAGGATATTTTATTGATATTTAACAAGAATTTATAAAATGAAATATTAATCTATTGAAATATCTATATCTCAAAAATCAGCTTTGTTAACATGTTCTCAATAACACTTGTCCTTTAATAAGAGCTTTAAAGTTTCCCTTGAATTGTCCTAAATCTTGAAATAAAGTAAACCAGGATGACTCATGCAGCGA